GAATGATGTTTTAATAATATCACTTTTTCATGTCACTGAACAAAATTTTGATAACTTAAGAAATATTTTCGCCATAGAAACCAATGCAAAAATTAAATCTCTTTTTCTTGAAAAATTGTCTAATGAAACCATAACGAAAACATTATACTCTTCATGTACTGGAACATTCTTAAGATTTGTTATAATGAAATGTACTTGTGTTTATTTCAGACTCGTTTACAGGGTAATCGTAACTCTAATATTATAAAACAAGAATTAAAACTGTTACAATCCGTAACAGTTGATGATTCACTTCATTGGATAAAAGATGCATTCACTAATTTATTTAATGAAGAGTTGACATGGTTACAAGGAATTGAAGACTCACTTGAAATGTGTGGTTATAACATAAAGTCATCGGATCAAGGTCAGTATTACCAAGATTATTTCTTACTTACTTCACAGATGACAGTTTTTTTTCATTCTAAAGTTAAAGTTAAAGTTTGATTTTTTGGGAAAAAAACTACTACACCAACAATACTTGCAGCTCTGCATGACTAAAGTCTAACTTATAAAAATTAATCACATGTTTGTGATGTAATTGGAAAAAAAGTCTTGACAATTATTAAAAATTATAGGTATATTGAGAGTTATAATATGTGATGATTCATTTTTTAGTACAATCTGTAACTGTATTTGCTCAAATAGAAGCACATCTCCAACTTAATTTAATTTAATGTTACATGAATACTGATTCATTAAAATATGATTTATTTTGAACATATGCAAACCTCTTGTCATGTGCTATTTTAGAGAAAATAGCGCTACTAATAGAGCAAATATGGTAAACAGAATTGGAAAACTTTGCCTCAGTATTAACTACCATCTGTCCTCCTTCAAAAAAAACAGTTGATGGCTGCAAAATGTTTGTCTCTGATATTGAAGCAGTTGTTTGAAGAATGAATTCATTTTGTTTTTAAGGTCCTGCCAAATATATTGAAAACCTTCAAATCAGAGTGGAAAATGAAATTAAAGAAAAGGAGGATATTAAGTTAAAACTGACAACTATTGAATCTGAAGTGAGAAGTGAAATGAACAGTCAAGTCAGTGACTTGAAACGTGAACATGAAATGCACGTCAGTGATGTAGTAGAAAAGATACGAGCTGAAGGTGAGTTGACAAAATGGTGTTAAAGGAAATACTTTTTTGTAAGATGGCTCAATACAAAATGACAGTAAATAAACATCCCTAGTTAACAGTCATAACTAACACCTCATCACAAAAGGAATGATCTAGACAAACATGTTTAATTTCTCAAATGTAAATGCATATTTTTATCAATCTTATACAAACTAGTCACAACACATTTGTGTTTCAGTCGTGCGTTATTCACATGTTTATACAATGTCACTTTGAACTGCTTAATTTTCACTGCTAGGTTTTTTTACGATTTGATGGCATGGTAAAGACAAAATTTGTAGATTCACTGACACTTCATTTCGTAAAACCCCTACGACATTTTCACTTCCATGAAATTTTTTGATTTTTACTGACAAAAGAAATGTCTCTTGTGAAATAAAGTATGTGAATGTCTTCTTCAAATAATGCATGATGTAACCCAGCTTCTCCTCCCCATTTTTCTGCCCTCCCCTTCCCTCAATACAAACTATGATACTGGTAATTAACATCAGAATTATATATGTGTTTGTACAGCTGATCAGAAAGTTCACTTGGCTGTTGATGAAGTGAGACAAGCTGAAATGGAGAAAAGATTAGAGGCAATAGAAGCTGAAAAGCTGAAGAGACAAGATTTACAACAGACAATAGATGAAATGAGACAGGTAATTGGAATATTCAGAGATTCAAATATGCGGTGATCAAACCAGCTGACCTTTGTGCATCAGTCATAATAGTAATACATCATGGTATTCTCACTATCAAAATTTCTCAATTATTTTTGATAAAAACTAGTAGAATAAAATGCTACTGGTATAGCAGTAACCATTTAATTTGTACTGCTAGAAACTTGTAGAAAATAAATTGTGCAAGTCACTGAGAAATTTTCATTGCTACAAAATTTCATATTTTTCACTGACATTAAAAAGTTGTTTACAGTATACATATTATATTTCTGACATTAACATGTTATTATGTACTTGTGTTGCTAGGCGGTAACTATGAAAGGTGAACAAGAGAAGGAACACATGACTGTTGTCACAGAGATAGAACAACAAATGGAAGAGATGAGAGTGGTGGAAATGAAGTTGAAAGATGAAATGGTGAACAAAGAAATTCAGTTTAAAGAGGAGATGAAGCAACTACGGGATCAACATGAGGATGAGAAGAGATCTCATTACACTGAGGTAGCTGCTTACAAGGAGCAAGTAAGACAGCACGCTGTGACCATTGTTGCTATGGAGGAGAGGTTATTAAAGATCACCCAGCAACAGAAAGAAATGGAAGAAGAAAGGAGTGATTTGAAACAACAAATTGAGAGAATACGTTCTAAACCTGTTCCACCGCCAAAACCAGCTGTGCCATCAAAACCAGTCATAGTTCAAGCCGGTCCTGATATACAGGCATTAGAACAACTTGTTCAAGTTTTAAGGTGAATTTAAGATTCAAGTCTTGTTTACTAGTGTACCCTACTACACTAGTGTTGTGTACATACAGTGGTTTGTGATGTTTTTGAATTAAAAAAGAAAAATAGCAGCATTACATATTGCTTAGTAGCATTCTGTCAAGGGTGGGGGAGAGTAGCAATAGTTGGGTTTCCCGCTTTTCGGCAGTTAGCAATTTTAAAATCACTAAATTTTTATAAAGAAAGTATTTTTTTATTTCTATGAATTACATTTTCTGATTGCGTCAAGATGTGACAAAAATCACTATTTCTGGTTGCATAATTTTGAAAACTCCTTCTGTCAATCGTGTGACAAAATGGCATAGAGGGCGCACTGCTCATGACATAGCAATGGTACATATAGTACAGAACACAGATTGTTAATTACCACAACACCTCAATATATATATACTTGTGTTACACCATTATATTCAACATTTATGCATAGACAAGACAGAATGATTTACATATTCACATCAATTTGGTGTGGTTTTTGAGGAATTTTACTTGATATCCTAAATCTTTTTGTGATCTCAATGATTTTCTCATTGTTAATACCGGTAATTTGTTGTATTTTTCAGACGAGAGTCAAATGATTACAAGAAAGAAATGCAAGACCAGCAGGACATTATATTAGGGCTGAGAAGAGATCTGGCAGGGGCATCAGCCAGGTTATCTGACATGACTGGTATGTCAAGTTTGTTGTGTTCTGGCATATGTGTGCATAAATTATTTTGAAATTATAAATAAGGTCATTATTGCACTTGCCTGTCTCTCTCACAAACCAAGATTTACAATAAAGAAATTATCACTCTCCCAATTTGAAAAGATTTTATAGCTTGGCTCCCATATTTGAAAAAACCATATCTATCTTATCTGTTATTTTCATATTACAACGCTGTAATGTCTACATATATTTACAATCACTAGGTGAACTGAGTGAGCGTCAGAAACAGGAAATGGAAAACAATCTCACTCTGATGAAAGATATGGAACAAGAATTGATGACACAGCGACAACAAATGGCTAAGTTGTCAGAACTTGTTGACAAACAAACAAATGAAGCAAGAAAACTCCAGGCAGAACTCAGGTATCTTTTGTTACAAGTTGTACATATTCACGATGTTCAAACCATGATTCGCTGTCTTTTATGTTGTAAACCATTCATTGAATGTCATGTAACATTGTATTTGTATTAGAAACACATCTCTGTAACCTTGCTTATTTCTGACCTTTTTTTTTAACAATTTCTTATCTAAATTAATTCTTATTTGTGAATCAAGTAATTGAAAAGCTTTTAAATATGCAAATCTATTTCTAATGCCAAAATATTGATGTTTTTTTCCATTGTTTCAATTATCATGATTTGTATTACTTTGATCAAACTGAATTATTTGATTGCAGTGATGAGAGAAAACTGTTGTCAAGATCACAAAATGAAAACAAGCAGAAATCAGAGGAGGTTGTGGCATTGCAAAGTCAGTTGTCTTCAGTACAACAAACACAACAAGAAATAACTGTCAAAAAAGAACAAGAAGTAAGAGAATACAAATAATTATGTACAAAATTGGTTGATTTTCATGAATTACAAATTACATGTAATTTAGTTAAGTTGACAACATTTTAAGAATAAATCTTGAATTATATGATAACATATACTTCCCTATTAGCAGATGGTGATCATCTTTTTCCTTTGCAAGTATTCACACTAGTACCAACACTCTTGTCATCGGTCACAACAATTGTTATTCAGTACAAATATTAGAAATTAGAAGTTGTTATCCACTTATATGATGATATGTGAATACTATCTATATTTATTTATTTATTTATTTATTTATTTATTTATTTATTTATCTATTTATTTATCTATTTATTTATCTATTTATTTATAGGGTGTAATTGCTACTGAGTTGGCGTCATTTGGTGCTCAGTGTCGTGGTGAGAGACATGAACAAGTTATAGCCAGACAAAGAGAAGCTTTGGCTGAACTCAGATCAAGAATCAAAGGTTTAGAACAATCAAGACCCCCAAGTAAGTGATTGATCATTGCAGTTATTTAATGAACTTCAAAATACTTATTTTTGTATTGCAGGGTTTAATATAAACACTTTCCAAGCCTTGTCTGATCACTGCTGTTGGTGGAGGGCTTGAGGAATCTTGAATCAGTTTCTATCACCGGTGCATTTTACCTCAATCTGTGGGATTTGGTGTTTTTATATGCGCTATATTATTAATAGTTTTAGTATTTCATTTATTTATATTTTAAAGTGGGAGGGTTGTCACCTGCGCACACATGGGAATTGAGTCCCAAGCGATGATAACAAGACATACTAAACAATGACATGCTATGGCCATTTGGCGCATGCGCAGGTGACGACTCCCTCGCTTTAAGTTAAAAATTCAGCAAATGTGTTAAATAGCAATGGAAATGTTACCAAAAACAACAAAATAAGAAAGCGCTTGAATATAATTACCGTAAAAACACTATTAATTCGCGGTAGTAAAAATAATTATTTTTTCAAGTGCGCGAATTAATAGCATAAAAAGGAATTATTGGTTTTTGGTGCGCAAATTAAAAAGAGCTGTTTTCATATAAATTTATTAGTGATTTATTTTGTTTTCCAATGAACACGATTACAGGACCTTGTTTTAGTGCCTCTGAGATTAGTGGCCAGCAACATTCATGGCGTATAGTCGGGCAGAGAACACGCATTGCGTCAAGGACCACGCACAATGTTACACTTGAAATGGAACAGTGAAATGGCAAAGGTCACTCTGTACACAAACAAACAATGAACACGATGCTACAAAGTAGCCGTCTGGCTGCACTGCCTTTTTTTTATTTTTCTAGGCAGTACCGACGGACACAAATTATTAATTGTTCGACAGGTCGTTGGCAGTGAAGCCGTCAAACGAATCACCATCTTCATCGTCGTTGTCTAAAATCAGATCGACAGTGATTTCTGCTATTTCAGTGTTGCTTCGGATAAGGTGGTCTTCTGCCCTGTTGATTGCATTTTTGTAGCCATGTGTTCATTTTTTTTTTTGTCAAGCACTTTCATCTATGATAAAAATGTGACATGAGGTCAATCGCCCAAACAATCAAAAACATCAATTTATGTACCATAGGGTGGTTCACTTAAATGACGTCATAGAATAAAATCACTTTTCAAAATGGCGGACACATGGTCAATGCAACCCTGTGGACGAAAAGCCCTGTACTAAGCTTTCCATCACGGAAATTCATAATCGATGTACTGACCAATGGATATTTATCGACTTAGTAATAATCTTGCCCAACATCTGTAGTGTCGTGGGGGAATGATTTTTTTCAGGTCAAATCTTGAGTTATAAACTTTATTCTGGCCCGCGAATTAATAGGATACAATTTTAAACATATTTTTGAACGCCACGAATTAAAAGAATACATTTAAAAATTAGCGTTCGAAAATAAAGTGGGTGCGCGAATTAATAGAGGCCGCAAATTAATCAAGTTATTACGGTACATGAATGTTTTGTGGTATCACTTTCTATGGAACATTCAGCGTAATGAATTGCACAAACCAAAGCAGAAGAAATATTTTCTGGTTAAGTGAGTTTGTAATGATCTGTTTGTTTGTTTTTTGAGTAGCACTAACATTCACCGTATGAGTGTGTTAAAAATACAATAATATTTGAATATTCAAATTCCCCCATATAAGAGAATGAATTAAGTTCACTTAGTTGATGCTTAGTGAATGTATTATGAATAGACAAGACAAAAAGTTAAGATGTTCCACGTTGCTAAGACACGCACCACTGTACCTTGTATTTCTATGGGCTTTGTGCGCGCTGTTGTGGAACACCAGTTGAAGGGCCGATGAAAAAAAGCTAAATTCAAGAAAACAACACAAACTCAACTTTGAAGTAATTCTGAATAACTAAATTTATATATGTTGCACACGCAGGGGTAATCTTGTTACACTGTTCAGGGGAGCTTAACAACCATCGCAAAGTACCATTTTTGGCCTTTGTTTTCACCATGATGGTTGCCAGGCGGTGATGCCCGCATGTCCGCCCCTGAGAATAGCTAGTATCAATGTACATGTCACAATTATCCCTATTGTCTGGTTTCATCTCATATCTCATATTAATAGTCACTTGTTATTTTCATAACCAAATTTACATTTATTTATCTTTTTCAGTTCCTTCCGGTGATCAAGCCTTGCAGCAGGTCGTCCTTCTCAAAAAAGAACTTGCTGAGATGCGAGCACAACAGGTGTCTCTTAGCGGTAGTAATGGTTTTAACATCCAGGATGCAACGCTGGACCAGAAGATTGCAGAGGCCAGAGGACAAATACCGCCCTCAGTGTCAGACACTGCCATAGAGAGGAGTGCTCGTATAGAGACACAAGAAGCTCTTGAAGAAAGTGAAAAAACAGTAAGTTAAATTACTGCTTAGAAGTGAAATCACTTTATGTGTGAATTTGTATCCTGTCTATGTTTGTATTTGTTATTGTCAATGGATAAAAAACTGGTTTTATAATTTGTTATATCAATGTAAGGCAATGCAGAGCTCTGAGGTCATTACTGTTAATAATATGCATGACCTCATTGTTTGGGACTACGCATGCGTCGAGTGGTTATGATGTTTTCCCCCGGTTGGAGGCGGCCATATTGTTTTAGTTAACGGAAACGTGAGTAGACACTTCTAGTTACGGATCAGTAAATTCACATGGTAGCAGAGCAATGGCTTCAAATACTAATTATAAAAATCCCCCGGTGTTGGGGAAGGATACGGTCTATGAAGACTGGAAAGCGGAACTTGAGATGTGGCGTTTGGTGACGGACATAAAGAAAGAAAAACAGGCACTTGCAGTGGCGCTAACTTTGACGGGCAAGCAA